TGTTTATTCAGGGGTTCCATCATTTTTATATTCTCCTCTATTTTTTTACCAGTGTATTCTTTAGAAGCACTTACTTCTTTGATTATAGTTACATTTTTTAGTTCCGAAATTATTTCTGATTTGATTTCTTCTATACCTTTCTGCAGTTGATTCTTTACTGTCAACGTTATTATTTCAGAGATATCTGGCGTGTGATTTCCAGTTTCCTCAGTGCTGCTGTCTTCTGCATTTGTACTGGGTGGACTCCGAGCCTAAGACTGCATTTTGTTCCTTCTCTTTGTCATTTTGTATACCACCGTCTTTTGACCTTTGGTGTAGAGCTTAGATAGAGTTATTACCTTAGCCCCAGGTCCGGATCTATGAAGTTCAGATTCCTCCAGGTGGGTGTTGTTTGGATCTGGCTGCTGTGCTCCACTTCTTTCTGCTGCAGGCATTAGAGCTGAACCCTTTGTGTCTCTCTGGCAAGATGTTCTGCTCCTTAATCAGCTGGGTGGGTCTTGCCTCTAGCCTCCTTGCAGGGAGTTCTGCTGAAAGGTTCCTCGCTGGGCCTACACTCTGGGTAGAATGAAGATCCGCAGGACCTGGGTGGTCTCACTCACTTGCAGAGCCTGGGCTCTAGATCTTTTCAGGATCCAGAGGGCCCCGGTCATCTCACTCGCTGGGCCTGCACTCTGGGTCTATTCAGTATCCCGCAGCCTCGGTCAGGCCTGCGCTCGGGGTCTATTTAGGATCCAGAGGGCCCTGGTTGTCTCACTCACTTGCCGCGCCTGTGCTCTGGGTCTATTCAGGATCCAGAGGGCCCCGGTCATCTCACTCGCCGGGCCTGCGCTCTGGGTCTATTCAGGATCCCGCGGCCTCGGTCAGGCCTGCGCTCCAGGTCTATTCAGGATCCAGAGGGTGCCGGTCATCTCACTCACTCCTCAGACCTGCGCTCTGTGTCTATCTCAATATACATTTTTTTCTTTTATTTTTTTCCATAATTTTATTGACAAATAGCAATGAGACAGTTTCAAATCAAATTGGTAGGACAGTTTCAATAATTAACACACTGCAAACTGTCTTCCTAGTGGTTATTTGCTGTACAAGATGCAGACATGATATTCTATTTACAAACACTATTACAACAAATCCCCCTATTCATTAAGAGAATGTAACTATATACCTATCATAACCATTTTGAATACACAGATAAAAAATGGACATTCATTTATATATCCCTTTTTTGTTTAGTTCCATCATCTGAATATTATAGGTGTGTTAGCTCAGCAAAATATTCTAAAAAAGAGTCCAGTAATCCATAATAGTACTGGGTCTTCTGCTTGACTGGCAATGTCAGAAATTGTTGACCTGAGTCTCCCACAGCTCAACATAACAGCATAGCTTTACTTCTTATATTTCATTTTTATACTTTTCTGCTGGATGGTTAAGACCAAGATAAAGCAAGACCTATGAAACAAGAGTAGTAGCTTTTGAATTTGATAAGGTCAGTGAAATCCCCTCAGGATTTATCCTGAGATCCTGTACCTCAGATTGTAGAACCTTTGTCAGTGTCAGCCATGTGGATGAGTCACGGCCATTGCTTGGCCAATGTGCTCTCTGTGAAAGCCTGAGAGAATGTTTTCTCTCTATATGACTCTCCTTAGGCACACTCTACATCATCGATCACTTCCTTCTTTGGTCCCATAATCTCCTTAATCAGAAAATTTGGGACACTATTGAGTTACATGACATTACAGTACAAGTTCTCATATGTCCTGAGTCTTAACTGACCTTGGAAGGCTAGGGCCAGAACGTTGGCTTTCCTTACAGCACTCCTTTTTCTTTAATTTTGGTCTGCAACTTTAGGTTATACAACCTTTTTTTTTTTTTTTTTTTTTGAGCAACACGATACTAAAACACTAAACAAAGAATTTAATGTAGGGCTGAGATTTTAACTTAGTGGTACAGCAGCACCTGCCTGGTAAGCTTAAGGTCCTGATTTCGATTCCTGGTATCACCTCCCCAAAAAAAAACTGATGCAAATTCCTCTTACATATTAAATAAAAAGTTAGGAAGGAGAGAAAGACTCTTACAAGTCAATGAAATACAGATACAAAATAACTTGTGTGTGCCAAGCTCAGTACTAGCCCTACCAAAAACAGATATTAATAAACTCCTGGTATAGCACTTACAACTCAAGGACAGTACAGAATGCATAAGTTACATATAAAGGCTCCACAAGACATGTCTACAAGTTCAGAAGTAGGACAGATTATATCTGTGCTGCTAAGAACTTTCATAGATAACTGAACTGTGTCTGAAATAGGATGATCATGATTTGTCTGTCACTCAAACCAAAGTAAAAAGGGATGCTAAAAATTAAATGACATAAGTTTACAAACACTTAAGTATTGACTCACACATTTATGATATTGGTGGTCTCTAATATAGTATTTTCCTAAAAATAATTTCAAAAGTAGCCTTCTTAAAAATACAACTAGAAGGACCAAGGAGATGGCTCAGTAGAATAAGCGCTTCCCTGGCAAGTGCAAGGGCCTGAGTTCAATCCCTGGTTCTTCCCCCCCCCCCAAAAAAAAAAAAAATACAACTAGAGCCTAAAAAATACTCTGGTGGAGCTCTGCCAAATTGTTGTCAGTGCCTTCCTTAAATATTTAGTATGTTATCTTCCAACAGAAAGGTATTTATTCATCTAGACAAAGTCTCACCAAATTGCCCAGACTTGCCCCCAACCTGCAATTCTGTTGCCTCAGCTACCTTTGTAGTCAGGATTACAGGCCTACACGCCTGCAATGGCATCCAAGAAGCAGTTGACAATATGAATCTGTTTCTTTAACTTTACTAACAAGTCTACCAAAAGCAGTAGGAGTGGCAGCAACTTTTGGACCTTCCACAAAATACCTCTGCATTCTGTTATACTATAATACAAACAAATAAATGCCAGTTGGCTGATGTGATCAAACAGAAAAAATGGATTAACAGCCCTCAAACAATCTCTCCAAAAACAAGGATGATGCAAATACTTGAACTGAACCGGAAGCCCTAAATTGAAGGCACTGTTAGCTTTGACTCAACTCAACCCCATTTGGGAGCCTAACACTAGTTAACTCCCAAGCCTATACTTCTTACGTGAAAGCCAAATATTAATTTGTCTCTCTCCTCAAAGCAAAGTAAATACATCTTAGAAGTGGTCGTAATGGGCTTTCATGTTAAACCAGCATTCTGACTCAAGTCATTCAGATCTGCCTCATAAGGATCAGTTGTTATAGACAAGGGATAACTCCAAATTTCCCACCATGCCAGGAGTTGGCAAATTACTAACATACCCAGCTGTACCTGAGCTAATGCCTCAGACCTAAGGAAAAGCTCAATATAAAAACATAAGCACAAAGCCACCTGAATTTGGAATGTATGTACTGCAAGAGACAAACATATGTTATGGACCTTATAAAGCTAATCAGATTAATCACAGCATCAGAGTAGAATATTTGGCATGAAAAGGAAAAGTAGGACCAGGGATACACCTCAGTGGGACAAGCACCTGCCTGGCAAGTCCAAGGACCTGTTTCATGCCCAATGCAAAAACAAAAACAAACACAGTAAGGAAAAGTAGATACTGCTCAGAGATAATTTCAATGGGCTTTTCCTGTTTCTAAAAGTCTCCTGAGATGGATTACTAAAATTGCTTAAACTTCCCTGTCACCCAGTAATGGGGAATGAATCTATGGACCAAGGTTACAACACTGAGCTTCACTTCCAGCTCTCTTTCATCATTCGAAACCTGGTCTCACTAAGTCATTAAGTTGCCCATGCTGGGCTCAAACTTGCAACCCTCCTGCCTCAACCTAACAAACTAATAGATTAAGTGTTGTGTTTTGGATCTTTTTTTTTTTTTTTTTTGGCAAGATTAATAATATAACACAAGACACATTTTATAGTATTTTATAATGAATCACCCAAAGAATTATATACAAGTGCAGGAAACCTATCTGCACACTAAACACTGAAGAATCCAGCTGAGGTCCTATCCTAGAGCTCACACCACTGCCTAGGTCCTATCCTAGAGCTCCAACTAGGCCCACAGCCCACAACAAATTCTCACGCAGGCCCACTTCATGTATCTGTGATAGAAAGACCCAAAGTTCAGTGGTGGAAGCTAGGAAGTGTATGCCAGAGGGATAAAGGATCTGTGCCAGCAGACTGAGGGATCTGAACAGGAGCTAGAAAGTAATGCTCAAGCTAAGCACCAAAGCTCCCCTAAAAATACCACAGCCATCCTCAGCAACAGTGAAGTCCTGAGCTCCTCCAGCAAGGAGGAAAGCTGAGTTTCCACCAGGAAAACTCACGACAAGCTTCTTCATCAGGATGAGCAGTGCACCATCTTCCCCTCCAGAGCCAGGCACCAATGCTCAAGATGAGAACCAAAGCGCCTCCAAAGTTCCTCAGGAAAGCCAGCATGACAAAGTCCTCTAACAGCCCTAGCCCAAGAGAACCAGCAGCTTCCAATAGCTCCAACAGCTTCTCCAAACAGCATCCCTAACAAGATTTAGACAGCCTTTCCTGTTCTGCCTTTATGTTGCTGGCAACAAGCTTCAGGTGGGCCTCCCCCCCCAGCACCATGCTAGTTTAATTCAGCTAGATATAATAAAGTTGACCACCAGTTAGAAATCCACTACAATAGGAATGCACCACCATGCTCTACTGTTCTCAAGTAATTTTTCATGAATGTTCATACAGTACATAGATTTGGAAGACTGAGATAACTGCAGCAGATGCAAAACTTATAGCTCTGAATAATAAAAATGGCCAGAGATAAAAATTGAGGTTTAATGAAGCAGCCCCTTTATATGAATGAGATTTTCCTAAGCTCAGAATATCTCAACTGTAACAGACTCGCTGTGTGCACAGCATCCAGGTTGGCCTATTTCCATCCCCAGACTTAAAAAACAAGGGAATCCACGCAAACAAAAATCTCTTGCCATGTACTGCATTATGAGTAATACAATCCTTTATCTGTACACTAGAGGCTGTCATACAGCATTTATGAAACTGGCAAGACAACTTGTTAGCTAGCAGGCAAAGTAAGATCTAACCCTTCATAATTCTTAATAGATGCTAGGTTTTCACAGATGCATTTTGCTCTTACTGACAAAACTGTGGTGTTTTTTCTTTTTTTAAGTTTAACAGTGACTTCTGAGTACTGATATAAACCACTTAGTGATGTGTTATCCTTTTAATTGTATTAAAGGATTCAACTTGTAAAATTTTATTTGGAACTTTTACATTTATCTTGACTATGGATACACCTGTAGTGTTTTTTGGTGTCAACAAGGTAATGCATGTCCTCACAGAATGAGTTAGAAGTATTCCTTTCTCATCAATTTTGGTTTTAAAAATTATACAGTATTGATATTATTTCTTAAATATTTGACAGAATTTACCAGTGTTAGCTAGAATTTCTTCGTAAAATTTTAGGCTACAACTTGATCCCCATAATAAATATAAGGCTATACTGGTTATTTCTTAAGTTTCAGTGACATAGCTTTAAAAGAATCAGTACATTTTCTCCTAAATTATCCCATTTATTGACATAAAATATTTTTTTTTTTTTTTTTTTTTTTTTTTTTTTTTTAACGGAACCAGGGATTGAACTCAAGCCCTTGCACTTGCCAGGCAAGTGCTTATTCTACTGAGCCATCTCCCCGGCTCCACTAATAGTGGTTTTTTTTCCATAATTTTTACTGAGAAATAAATAGCAATGAGACAGTTTCAAATCAAATTGGTAGGACAGTTTCAATAATTAACACATTGCATACATTCTTCCTAGTGGTTAATTGCTGTACAAGATGCGGACATGATATCCTATTTACAAACACTATTAGAACAAATCCCTTTATTCATTAAGAGAACGTAACTATGTATCTATCCTAACCACTTTGAATACACAGATACAAAATGGACATTCATCTGTATCCCTTTTTTTTGTTAAGTTCCGTTATTTGAATATTATAGGTGTGTTAACTCAGCAAAATAGTCTAAAAGAGTCCAGTAGTCCATAATAGCATTGGGTCTTCTGCTTCACTAGCAATGTCAGAAATTGTTGACCTGAGTTCCCTACATCTCAACATAACAGCATGGCTTTACTTCTTATACTTCGTATTTATACTTCTCTGCTGGATGGTTAAGACCAAGGTAAAGCAGGACCTATGCAACAAGAGTTGTAGCTTTTGGGTCTGAAAATGTCAGTGAAATCCCCTCAGGATTTATCCTGAGATCCTGTACCTCACATTGTAGAACCTTTGTCAGTGTCAGCCATGTGGATGAATCACGGTCATTGCTTGGCCAATGTGAAAGCCCGAGAGAATGTTTTCTCTCCATGTGACTCTCCTTAGGCACACTCTATATATCATCATTCACTTTCCTCTTTGGCCCCATAATCTTGATCAGAAAATTTGGGACACTACCGAGTTACATGACGTTACAGTACAAGTTCTCATATGACATAAAATTCTTTATATTTCCTTATCATTTTCATATCTGTAGAGGCAATAGTTATGTCTCCTTTCTCATTACTATTCTGATAATTTGTATCTTTTTCTGATCAGTCTGGCTTAGGTTTATCAAATTTTACTGATCTTAAAAAGAAACATTTGGTCTCATTAATTTTCTCCACTGTTTTTCTCTTGTTTCTCTAATTTCAACTCTGACTTTCACTATTTTCTCTCACCTACTCAAGGTCAGTGCTGGTGGTGAACCAATCCAGCCATTTGTTCACTGAAAGCTCTAAAAAGCTTGCCAGCACTGCTCTACGTTAAGTGCTCTTCATTTACTAGTCCCTTAAAAAAATGAAAGCTGGATCACTGGTCTTATAGAAAGTCTATTTCCAGCCTGTTATTCCTCCTGGGCTAAAAGAAACATACTGTTTTATTTATTAGTAAACTAATACAGTTTGATTTTGGTACATTTATGTAGTATATGCAACATATCAATTAATGTACTGTATAGTTCTGCTCCATCCGTTTCTCAGCTTTAAAAAACTTTTACCATATTTCACTAAAACTTCTATTTATGTATTCACTGCATTCATATGTAATTTCTCCTTCAATGATGAAACCTTCAAAGTGAATCTACAATGGCATTGACAATACAATCGGGTGTTTCACTTTTGAAAGAATACTTGTTGGGGAATGGGGAGCATTGGGGATTGAACTCAGGACCTTCAACATTCCCAGGTCTTTTTAAATTTTTTTTTTAAATTGAGACAGGGTGTCACTAAGCCACTATATTGCCCATGGTAGACTCAAAATTGCTGTCATGCTGCTTCAACCTCCCAAAGCTGGGATTACAAGTATGTACACATGGCCAGCCCAAAAGCATTTTTAAATTCAGGAATCAGGTGGAGAAAATAAAATAGAAATGACTAAAATAAACTACTTTTTTCTCTGAAGCATCTGATGACATGGTATCATTTGATTTTTTGTAAAATTCTGCTAATGGCCAATTCATTAGCAGTTGTTTTATTTTTCACTTGTGCAAGTTCAGAAGGTGCACTTACACTCTTCTCTGATACATGACTTTATTTAAATCATCTTCAAGTTTCAAGCTTTCTATACAAATAAAGTTGAAACAACTGTTAATGATTATTTCTGGATGTAAATTTTAACATGTCATAACAAATTTTTTTTTTTTTTTTTTTGGCGGAACTGGGGATTGAACTAGGGCCCTTACAGACATAACAAATTCTTGAACATAAAAATTTATGAATAAATCTGCAGAATTGTCAAAATCAGTGCACGTCCAAAACTGACCCTTTTTTCTTATTCACAGAGCCTGGTTTTTAACTGTGATTGTACCTCACCAGCCACCTAAGCTAGAAACTAGAAAATTGTTACTTCTCTTTCCCACATCTAGTTTATACAGTTCTACTCTTTTTCTTCCTTTCTTAATGTAGGAGAAATATACTACCACTCAACCTCTACTGTAAGGTTGGCAGCCCTGAGAACTCCTTTTGTTAATGTAGCATGTTATGGATGTATTCCTGCTCCTAAAGGAATGAGGAGAAGGCATTTCCACATGCCACTAGACTTAAATACAATAAAATTACTAAATCTTATTTTTTTTTTTTTTTTTTTTGCGGAACCAAGGATTGAACTCAGGCCCTTGCACCTGCCAGGCAAGCACTTATTCTATTGAGCCCTTGAATCTATCTTCTAACTCACTACCTCAAACAATGATCATTTCAAAGCGATTGCTAGTTTCTCTCACTTCATTCTAATCTATTCTGCAAACTACAGGCACAGTAAACTTTAATTATAAAGTAACTTCATGCCAGCCACAGTGGCATATGCCTGTAATACTAGCACTCAGGATGCCTGAGGCAAGAGATTCATCATTTCCAGCCCAGCCAGGGCAAATCAGCAAGATCCTGTCTCAAAGGCGGTAGCTCCCTGCAAAGCCCTAGTTCAATCCCCACAAAAAACAAAAAAAAAATTCATTTCAATATATTTCAACTTCCTTATCTTTGATAGTAAGCTCCTAGTGAATACCAGGTAATGAAATCAGACTCAGATCCAAACATTAAATTGTAGTCACTTTACTAGCTGTAGTTAATGTACTAGTTATATATACATATATTTTTCTTTTCTTTCTGCCAATGTTTATTAACCTGTGTTCTTAAAACATTTATACACATTCAACTTAGCAATTATCACATATTATAGTTGTCAATTCATCAGAACAGCAATAATAGACTATTCAAATGAAAACTTTACAGCCAAGCATGGTGGCACGTGCCTATAATCCCAGCACTTGGGAGGATGAGGTAGGAGGATCTTTGAGAGTTCGAGACCAGTCTGGACTACAAAGTGAGCTCAAGACCAGCCTGAACTGCATAGGAAGAACCTATTTCAAAAAAACAACAAATAAATAAAATTTCCCAGTCTTACCACTGTGCTTGATACAGTTGATGAACATATGTCAGATAAATACTGCACATATTCATATTAATGCTTAATTACTATCCCGAGGACAAACTTGTACATAATATTTGGTGACATATAATAAACATAAGCCCACTAAGCTAATAGGCCGAGAAGCTAAAAGGAAAAAAATGAATGTGTTGATTAGTATCGAAGGAAATGAATAAAGGCAAAGGGGTATTAGAAGGAAAGCATGTAGTCTCTGGTCTAGAGCGTGGACTCAAGAAAACTCACTTCACCGGAAATCACAGCGGCTCAGGGGGCAAAAGAACCAGCGAAGCCTGGGGCCAGGCCCACGCACTCCGGCGTGCGCGGACGCCCGACAGCCGCTCCCACGCTCACCGCGCTCAGTTTGGAGTAACCAGAATCCCGGGTTCTGGGCGGCTGGGCCTCGGACACCGCCCTGAGAAGACACTCCCCGGGCTGGCTTCGCCCCCGGGGCCGGTAGCCGGAGCTGCGCACCCGACCGCACGGCCCGGGACAGGAGGGCTCCGCGGAGAAGGGATAGTGCGTGGGAAGCAAGACAGCGCAGGGCGCCGGGGAGGAGGGAAGGCCCTCGGGACTACGCATTTCGAGTCCTGGGAATACAGCAGTCCACGAGACAGCCCCGATGGTCGCCTCGTGGTGTGGCTCTCAATACGACTGCAGGAACGCGACTGCTCCGGGCCGAGAGGCAGACGGCCTGCGCGCCTCCCACCTCGACTCCAGCTCCAAGTTACTTCTCTTCCGGCACCGGGCGGCGGTGGCCGCAGGTGGCCAGCCTCCGTACCCGGCTCAGGCCTCCTCCCGGGACCCCGGCCCAAGACGGCCCCTGGTTCTCACCGAATCCTTTAATGAGCTCAGTGAAGACCCCGGGGTCACTTTCCATGAGGCACCACTCCCCGGCATTGCCCGTCATGGCCCCGGCCACACACCGCCCCGCTCCACCTCTCGCACTCGGCTGCCCCCCGTAACCAGCGGCCGCCGGCTACAGTTCTCAGCAAACCCGCCGTGGAACTCGCCAACCCCACGTCACCCCGCCTACTTCCCGACAGCCTCTGGGCGCCGTCACCTGCAGCGCGCCAGAGCGCAGGAAGACACTCTAGCCACCCAGGAGACGTCGAAAGTCGTCTAGGGCCTTGCGGGATCCGTAGCCGACTCGGAAGGGGCCGGAACCCGGACAAAAGGGGAGGAGCTTCAGGGCGCGGGGGAGGAAACATCCGGGGTCCTCGCCGCTCGGGGCGGGGCAAGGGCAGAGGGGAGGGGCTCGCTCCCGGGTGGCGAACCTGGAAGGCCCGGCGGCTTCGGAGTTTCCCGGCGCGCCTTCCGTCGTTTCCCGGTCCTGCGCGGGGATTCTCCTGGCGGCGCTGCGGCTCCGAAGCGTTGGCCGCCAGGCAAAGGTGAGGAAACGGGGAGGCTAGATGGGGGCCCTTTGTGCGGTCTGAGCGACCCTACCGGGCCACGTTTCCCACCCGGCGTCCCAGCTGCAGAGCCCGGTGCGACTGCCCGCCGGCGGCGTCCTCCCTCGCCCGGCGTCCGCCGCTCGCTGCACGCGGTGCTCCCGCGCCGGCCCGCCGCGAGGCA